TTTGAACAATTATCCAATATATTTTAATTGCCGACGTAGTTTTCAATTGCAAATGTGATTTTAAAAATTAGGTTATTTCCGCAAAATTGATTGACAAAATTAGGGCAAAAGACGACAACGTGGCAATCCGGGTTAACAGAACTCGGGGCGCTACAATTACAATCTTGATTGTTAGAAAATTCTGCAAAAGAACAGGCTTTATGACATGCTATCTATATGCAATATTTAACACCTATTTTATAGAAAGATAGTTCACCACAAATCTACTTGAATCAAAACTGTCAATACTATAAGATACTCGAGAGGGGCTTCAGCCACCTAAAAGTTATGGATTCCCATCAAAAGATCTAAACAACACACTAGAATCCAGATTCAACAAAGTTTAACATTATTGTAGGCTTTGATCTAGTGCACATTTTATAATGCTTAGATTCTAAATTCTACATAGCAGCTTAAATATCACACAATCAAGAAGAATCTATCAACAACAAAAAGGCAACAGCAATTGTACAGAATTAAAAATAGAAATGAGTATTCTAAAGTCAAAAATCATAAAACCAACTATCCCAGAAAAAAAAGAAAAGAAAAGTGAAAACAATCTACATAATTGTAAATCATTCAAGAAAACAACTAAATACCTGAGCAGCAACAAGTCCACTGATATGAGCCATGTCATAAAGCAAAAGAGCCCCACACTTATCTGCAACTTCCCTGAACCTCTTATAATCCCAATCTCTAGGATAAGCACTCCCCCAACAAATAATCAGTTTTGGCATGAAATCCATAGCCTTCTCTATTAGAAAAAAGAAGAGACGGAGAAGATATTTTCTCTTATTATCAAACCGTAAAAATTGAAATGAAATACATCAATCCTATTTATAAATACAAAGGGCAATAGGTGCCAACTGTCACTGTCCAACTAACAGAATTACAGCTAGCAAGATTTTATACAAATGGCGCCAAAATAAAATGCTGAATTGCTGAGCTGGAACATGGCTTGAGCTGATGATAAAGCTGAGCTGATCAAGCTGCAGCTGGAAGCTGGAGCTGAACCTCTAATACTCATCCTCAAGATGGACTATGCAAATTGAGAATAGCCATCTTGGATATGAGACGAAAAAGAAGTGAAGACGGTAAAGGTTTAGTGAAGATATCAGTGAGCTGGTGTTGAGATCGAACCGGTAAAAGCTTTATAAATCCATCACTAACTTTGTCTCGAATGACGTGACAATCAATTTCAATATGCTTCGTTCTCTCATGAAAGATTAGATTGTTAGCAATGTGAATTGCCGCTTGGTTATCACAAACAATTATAGCTGGAGCGTCAATGGTAACCTGCAAATCAAGAAGGAGTTGCTGAATCCACACAATTTCACAAGTAGAAGAAGCCAAAGCACGATACTCCGCCTCAGCCGAAGACCTCGACATTGTTGTCTGCTTTTAGACTTCCAAGAGATTAATGAATTGCCTAGAAAAATGCAGAAACCTGTTATAGATTTTCTAATATCATAACATAACCCCCAATCAGTGTCTGCAAACGCCCTTAATTAGAAAGAGGATGAAGCATCAAATAACAACCCTTGACCTAGAGTGGCCTTAATGTACCTCAATAGATGATGTACAGCATCTAGGTGAGGCTGCCGTGGCTGTGAAACAAATTGACTCAATTTGTGGACAGTAAATGTAATATCCAGCTGTGATATAGTCAGGTAAAGTAATCGACCAACTAACCGTCGATACATAGAAGCACCATCAAAAGAACTAAGTTTTATCTTAGGATCCATTGGTAACGCTGCTAGTTTACAAGCCAAGAAACCAGTATCTTCAAGAAGTTGTAGGGCATAGTGCCTTTGAGAAAAAAAAATGAGATTTAGCTATCTCCAATCCAAGAAAATATTTAAGATTACCAAGGTCTTTCAACTTGAACTGTTGATGTAATAACTTCTATAGGGAATCAATAGTCTTGACATCAGTTCCAGTGATGATTATATCATCAACATAGACAAGTAAAGCTATGAATGTAACACCAGAACCTTTTGTAAATAATGAATAGTCCGATTTGGATTGTTGAAAACCATGCAATAAAAGCGTGTGAGAAAATTTTGAAAACCACTGTCAGGAGCTTACTTCAGGCCATATATAGATTTGTGCAACCTACACACCAGCTTTTCCCCCTGAGGACCACTGTTATGACGTTTAGGATGACCCAAAGGTAAGTCAATGTATATCTCTTCGAATAAATCCCCATTAAGGAATGTATTATTAACGTCTAATTGAACTAAATGCCATTTCCTAATGGTAGCAACAGCAAGCAGAACTTTGACAGACACTAACTTGGCAACATGTGCATATGTTTCATGAAAGTCTAGTCCTTCCTGCTGGGTATAGCCTTTAGCCACCAACCTGGCTTTATACCTTTCTATATACCCATCTGATTTGAACTTAACTTTATATACCCAACGACACCGAATAGAATGTTTATCTCTTGGTAAGCCTGTTATAGTCCAAGTATGGTTAGCTTCCATGGCTGCTAACTCATCAGACATGGCATTCCTCCATTGCTCATGTTGGACAGCTTGATGATAGAATTGAGGTTCAAAGGTAGAAGAAATGTTGAATAAAAAAGAATTATGTGAAGTGGAAAAGGCTTTATAAGACAAATACTTACATAAAGGATATATGGAATCAGTTTGGGAAGCAGAGGAATTGATAAGAAGATTACAATGGTAATCACGAAGATAGGCTGGAATTTTGCGTGTTCTGTTACCTCTTCCATGATTGGATGAATGTAAGGGAGGTATGTTGGTTCCATTGGCTGGAATGGAATTTGTATTGACATCAGGACATTCATGATCATCAGAAATGATCTGAGAAACATCATCACAAAGATTATCAAAAGTAGGATTAGTTTGAGGTTCTGCAGGAATAGAAGAAGTGTGAGAATGATATTGAAATGATTTTGGAAAAGTATTTGGTAGAACAACATCACTAAATGGATCAATATAGTCAGGATGAGAGCAAATCGTTTGAAAAGGAAAGATATGTTCATGAAAAAACACATCTCTGGATATGAAAAAGGTTTTGTTGACAATATCATACACTTTGTATGCTTTCATGGTAGGAGGATAACCAACAAAAACACAGGCTTTGGCTCTTGGGTGAAATTTTGATCGATTAGAAGTCAAGGTAGAAGCAAAGCATAAGCTGCCAAAAGGTTTTAAAATGATTGTAGTCAACAAGAGTTTTGTATAACGGAGATATGAAGATTTGTTTTTCAGTAATGGAGCTGGAGTTCAAGATGATATAAGTAGCTGTGAGGATGCACTCTCCCCAAAATTGGATAGGAATTCTTGATTGGAAGCATAAGATACGAGCCACATTTAATAGATGCTGGTGCTTCCTTTCTACAATAGAGTTCTGCTCGGGCCTCTCAACACATGAGTATTGATGAATTACTCCCCTTTTATTGAATAATTCTGTGAACTTCAACTCATTAGCATTGTCAGATCTAAATCCCTTTATAACCTTGTTAAATTGTGTCTCAATGAGGGTGAAGAATCTGGGAATTATGATAGTTACATCAGACTTCCGTTTCATCAAATAAACCCATGTAAATCTGGTATAGTCATCAACTATTGTTAAGAAGTGCTTGTAACCAGCATGTGAAGCCACACTATAGGGTCCCTAGATGTCGCAGTGAACCAAATCAAAAGGATTAGATGATAAATGATTATGAGACACAAATGAAAGTCTCCTTTGCTTCGCTGAAAGTCTCATTTGCTTCGTTAATGGACAAATATGACAGGGAATATCTTTTCCTCTTTCATTAAATTTCAAAAGGCCTTTCAACAGATCAAGTTTCTTAAAAGATAAGTGCCCAAGTCTATGGTGCCAAACATGACTTGTCACATTGTTTGCCAACACATTACAAGAATGCATAATAGATTTATGCTGAAATGAACAAACAGAATTACAAGAACCCTTGGTACTAACAAATTTATTCTGAACGAAATCAAAAGATCTTGCATCAATGGCATATAGATCTCTAGCTCTTTCACCCTTGCCAATCATCTTAAACGTTGGCACAACCTGCATCATACAAGTGTCTATGAGAAAAGTGATACTTAATGTAGATTTCCTTGTTAACGAACTTACTGACAGTAAGTTAAATCTGAACTGTGGCACGAATAAGACATCTTCAAGAATAAGTATAGGTGATAATCTCACATCTTCAATGAAATGAACTGAAACTTTATCACGATTAGGCAATATGACAAATGAATTCTCAACTCTCCTCAATTTATCAAAAAAAATAACGATTGGAACAAATGTGACTTGTAGCTCCAGAATCAATCACCCAAACTGTGGGTGAATTGATGATAGAATTGGAAGAAACAGAGAAGCAAGTACTTGTCATATATTCAGAACTTTCTTCTTGATGTGTCTCGCTTTTGCCAGCAGTTAGATGAGTGTTTAGCATACTCATCAGATGTTGATATTGAGTTTGGTTCAAGGTCTGCATAAAATTCCCAACATCTCTTTTAGACTGATCCATATAGTTAAATCCCTCAGTAACTGAACCAGCTACATCACAATTGGCTTGATTAGTTCGATTGTTGAAGTTCATCTGATTGTTTGATTCTCCAACTCTCTTCCTGGGTTTATATCCATGAGGGAACCCATGTAATTTGTAACATTTATTAATGTCATGACCTGTATATCCAAAAAATGTACATACATGCTTTTCTCTCTTCTGCAACTTATTATTCAGTTGCCCTGCACCGACCTTCTTAGCCTCATTCTTAACATAAAAAGTCATTGAATTATTAATACCAGAAGTGTCAATATTTGTATTGACCTTTCTCTGATTTTGCTCTTGCACAACAAGAGCAAAGACTTTATTAATAAAAGGAATTAGATCCATTAATAGCAACTGACCTCTTATTTGTGCATAAGACTCATGTAAACCCATCAAAAAGACATCACATACTCTGTCTAGTGATTAGCAAGATTTTGTTACCTTCACAAACGTATTTGCCACAAGAGCACAAAGGTCTACACCTGCTAAGTTCTTACCAGAAGGTCTTCAGTTTGGTGAAATAGGTACTAACAGAAGATTTTCCCTGGGTTAGATTCATCAATTCACGCCTCAATTGAATACATTATGAGCCGATTTAGAATACATTATGCTAGCTGATATCTCTTTGGAAACTGAATTAAGGATCCATGATATTACCATATTGTTGTTATGAATCCAGGCACCGAATAGATCACCAGTAGGATTAGGAGCTGTAATAGAACCATCGATGAACCCTAATTTGTTCTTCATAGACAACGCAATCACTATGGATCGACTCCAAGCGGCATAATTATCCCATGTAAGCTACTGTGAAACCAGTACAAAACCCGGGCTATCTGAATGGTGAAGAAAGAAAGGATTCGATCCATCATCAGTTGCTGAATTGCTAACTGATGATGTAGATATATGCATAGACTGATTCAAAATTTCAGTTGCCATTAATCAGAGTGAAAGAAACATAAGAGCATGTTCTGATACCATATTAGAAAAAATAAGAGATGGAGAAGATATTTTCTCTTATTATCAAACCGTAAAAATTGAAATGAAATACATCAATCCTATTTATAAATACAAAGGGCAATAGGTGCCAACTGTCACTATCCAACTAACAGAATTACAGCTAGCAAGATTTTATACAAATGGCGCCAAAATAAAATGCTGAATTGCTGAGCTGGAACATGGCTTGAGCTGATGATAAAGCTGAGC